AGGTAGAGATAGCATCTTCTACTTCCTCTCAGGGCCATTGTCTCTGCCAGAGTGTGCACCCTGCTGGGGGTTCAGGAAGCATGGCTAAGGACAAAGAGCACAGACTCTTTGGGCCACACCATGTCTGTGGTGCTGCAGCAGTGGCAGATGCAGTGCTAGAGGCCAGCGCCTGCCTCCTGCTTTCTTCTGGGGAGGGAGGGTGAGAACCATTGCCAGTCTGCTGCTGGTGGGGCCTGGTTAACTGTCTCGGGTGCCTGAGCTGCTGGGGTTATGGAAATGAACAGCTGACTGCCACCTCCACATGATACACTTTTTCCACTGGGTGAAACCTGCTTCCTTTGGATGCTGGAGTGAGGAGGTGGTTCTCATAGGATGCCCCAGCCATGTCTGCCTGCCACCCACCTCCTGACCTGCCTTGGAATCCGGGGAGCTACCAATGCAGCGTGTGTGGCTGAGGAGATGGCGCGATGCTTGCTCCCAGCTGCTGGGAGCTCTGGCAGCCTTTTTTTTTTTTTTAAAGAAATGAATGTCATTTACTGGATGTGCAATCTTTTTTTTTTTTTTTTTTTGGTACTAGGGATTGAGCTCAGGGGCGCTCAACCACTGAGCTACACCCCCAGCCTTATTTTGTATTTAATTTAGAGACAGGGTCTTACTGACTTGCTAAGTGCCTTGCCATTGCTGAGGCTGGCTTTGAACTTGCAATCCTCCTGCCTCAGCCTCCCAAGCTGCTGGGATTACAGATGTGTGCCACCATGACTGCCTTTGCAGTTCTAATATACCCACCTATGAAAAAAAAGTTCAAAAAAATATTTTTTAGATGGACATAATACTTCTATTTTATTATTTATTTTTGAGCAATGCTGGGGATCAAACCCAGTGCCTCACACGTGCTAGATGAGTGCTCTACCACTGAGCCACAACTTTAGCCCCTGCTCAAAATTTTTAATTATTTGGATTCATTTTCCTTTAAAATAACACATAAATTTGATTTTTTCTCCAACAGTACTCATCTGACAAGTTATATGGGAAGTTCTCAAAGCTGTAATACTTGACTTTTTTATTATTGAATAGAATATATTTTCAAATGAAAAGCCCGAAAGTGTTATTATATTCTAAGGGAAGAAAGAACAAAATGACAGTATAGAAAAAATCAGTCACAACCATTTCAGTTTTGAGTTGTAAATTTAATTTAAAAGATAGACTAGAAGCTGGGTATGGTGGCGCACGCCTTTAATCCCAGTGGCTCAGGAGGCTGAGACAGGAGGATTGTGAGTTCAAAGCCAACCCCAGCAATTTAATTGCACTAAGCAACTCAGTGAGACCCTGTTTCTAATAAAGTATAAAATAGGGCTAGGAATGTGGCTCAGTGGTTGAGTGCCCCTGAGTTCAATCCCAGGTACCCACCCATCCCCCAATATAGAGTTTTCAACATTTTCTTCCCCATAGGCTTAAGAATTTACTACTAGCTCAGGCCTGTATTAGATAACTATTAAAGAGGGAAACACATTCTACAAGCTGACTCTTCCATCATTTTGATAATAGATCCTGGGTGTCTGACATGACTAAGTCCAAAATAACTGACTGCAAGTTCACCGAGATGCTACCTTGCATTTCCAGGGTTGCAGTGCTGGCTTCTCAAATAGGTATTATAATACCACAAAGGTTTTGACTGCACACACACACACACACACACACACAATTTTTAGATGGACAGAATATCTTTATTTACGTATTTTTATGTGGTGCTGAGGATTGAACTCAGTGCCTGCCTCACATGTGGGAGGCAAGCGCTCCACCACTGAGCTATAACCCCAGCCCTTTCCTTAAGTATTTAAAAAAACTTTTGAAGGAAGTTAAACATATATCCATATGTCAAGGCAGAGATAGTGTAGTACATCCCCATACATCTGTCCCCCAACTTCTACACATCATAGCCAATTTCATTTCCTCCATCACTCATTCCTCTCAAAAAATCCCCCCCCCCCCCGCAGTGCTTGGGAAATCTTGCCTGTGTTAGGCAAGTGCTCTACCATTAAGCTACTTCCCCAATCTATTTTGATTGGTTAATATTTCCTGATGTATTTTAAAGTAATTCCTAGATATCATCTCACACCTACATCTGCACTGCTGATATCAAAGACATTTTCTTCAATTACCATATCATTATCGTGGTAATTAAGAAGCAATTCTTTGGTATCCTTAATTCTCAGTCCATGTAGAAATTTCACTAATTACATCAGAAATACCTGTTTTTTAAAAAAAAAATATTTTTTAGTTGTAGATGGACATAATACCTTCATTTTATTTATTTATTTTTATGTGGTGTTGAGGATTGAACCTTGGGCCTTACATGTGCTAGGCAAACCACTGAGCCACAACCCCAGCCCTAGAAATGTCTTTTTCTGTGTTTGAATGGGGATCCACACCAGGTCCATGTCTGACTTGGCTGTTGGGCAGATGCTGGGCTTCTGAGCCTGATATGACTTACAGCCAGGTCTGATGCTCCCACCACCACGAAAGACCACTGAAACCAAACATCCACTGCGGTGAGTATTGCCACACATTGTCAGTGCCTGTTCACACATCTGTTCTCCAGACTCTAAACTTTGGGAACAAAGGGGCTGTATCCGAATTGCCCCATGACCCCAACAGTCATGCATGAGCTGGTGCAGATAAAGACCTGGAAGTGAGACTGTACTCCAAGTCCTAATTCTAAGTCAGATGGTCAGAATTTGAATCCTGGTTCTACTAGTTAACTAGTTGCTTTACCAACCAGGTAAATATCTTCTAATGCAAGCTTACTATCTTGTCTAGGCCTCCATTTCTTCATCAGTGAAACTAGGCAACATTACAAGCTCAAAGGGCACAGAGCAGATTCATGAGTTCGATGCAAAGTAACCAGACCAGGGTTTGCAACTGGGTCATCAGGATCTGTTGGCTCTAGAGGTGCAACCCCATTGAGGGCTGCAGGAGCTGCACATCCCACTGGGATATTTAGTGACAAGCAGGAACAGGGTGCTTTCTCCAAAGGATCACTTTGAGGCTAGGTTAAACATACTGTTTAAGATCCCATCTTCAGAAGCCTGGGATCCATGTTCCCTTCTGCCTTTAGGGCTACAAAGTAGTAGCACTGCATTAACAGGTGTGTGAATCCTTGTCGCACCTTCCTGAAGTTGGCTGTTCCCTACTGTGGGTGCTCCTGTAGCCCTCCAAACATTCCTTTATATGGGCCTGCAGTTCCTTTGAGACCATTATAGTGACCATTGCCTGGTGGCATGCTCTGGCTCCACCTACAGGCTACCTTCAGTACATGACATGCTTCTCCCTCTGTTTCCAGGCTAGCAAATCAATTCTACTGGTCTCTCATCCAGCATTGCCCATGATAGACATTCTGTACAAAAGAAAGGACTGACCTGTGATTTTCATTTTTTTGGTACTGGGGATTAAACCCAATACTGCTCTACTATTTAGCTACATTCCTAGTCCTTGTTATTTTTTCATAGAGATGATCTTGATAAATTGCTTTTACTGGCTTGAATTTGTGATCCTTGTGCCTCAGCATCCAGAGTAGCTAGAATTGTAGGCCTGCACCACAAGTGATTTTGACTGAAGAACCCTTAGGTAGCAACAGTTCAGCTCTTGTGGGAAGCACCCTTTGGGTAACCATTCCTTCTGTATCTATCCATTCCTCACCTTCTCCAACACCTTTGGCATATTACTATCTCCTTGGCTTCTGTCTCCTCTTCTGTGAGCTCTACACCTCATTAAAGTCTAGTGACCAGATGCACTAAGCTGCATGGTGAAGGGCTAGTGTTGGGGGTGTTCCCACAGTGAACAATAGTGGCCTTTAGGCCTCCAGTTGGTGTCAAGGCAGGGCTGGAAGTCTGTTCTTCCTATGGGCAATCTCCAAAACCTAGTAGTGGGCACCAGCATGTCCTTGGAACTTGTCAGAAATAAAAATTGTCAGGCTCTTTTCCAGACCAGTGGGATAAAAAATGTGGAGTCCCCCCAGTCTGTGCCTGACTTTCAGGGGATTCCAGTGCACATCCCAGCTTGAAAAGGGCTAGTGCCAATTAGTCATTTCTCAGATAGGTGCTGTACCAAGTTATTGTCAAGGCTGAACAGAAGTAACAGAAGAGCAGACTCCTGCATCAGAACTGAGCCACCGAATATGATGCTAAGGCTTTTAGGAAGGCATCCCTGAGGGGCAGTGAGGAACACAAGGCAGGTTTATGCCCATCTTAGAAAAGAACAAAGTGAGGCTCAGATCCCACAGTAAATGGCAGTCATCTGTGGGGGACCTGCCATGGGCCAGGCCCCATGCCAACTGCTGGAGACATAGATGATAAATAGGAAGTCTCTGGCATCAGAGAGGAAGTCTTCTGAGACCAGCACTGGGTCATCACTTCTATTTCACCACTGGACTTGTATTAACTTGCAAAGACCTGACCTCAAATTGGACTTACTCCCACCCCTCAGGCTTACCGCTTTACAATCTTTTCTGCATGTGATTCTAGGGGCTTTGGCAACTGCCTTATTTAGATGGAGATAAGTATGCACTACTCATTTGATACTAATCCAACTAGAGGAAGCATCAATTGTTTTATATTATTCACTTTGCCTCCATTAATTTCTGATAAAATTTTCTCCTAGAGCTTCTAATTTTGCCTACCATGTGGTCTAATGCTATTTTTTTTCCTAAAGCAGTTCACAATTTATGTGTTCCTTTTCCTTATTGATCTTCATAATAATTCTATTGGAATTTACATAATTAACATCTCCATCTCCCCAGTGTGAAAACAGAGGCTGATTTGTTTAACAAACATTTATTAAGTATTAGAATTCAAGTTAATGCCTAGGCTCTGATCACCAACCCCTGTGGCAGTGGAGACTTGCTCCTCATTCTCAGGTTTCCTCAGGAGGGCGGGCTGGGTGAGGGCCCCTGCTGCACTGCAAAGGCTCTACTTGGGGGAAACACACAAAGCAGTACTGGCATGGTAGTGGTGCATCTCACAGATCATTTATTCATGCCACGTAGAACGTGGTTCTTATATAAGGGTATGGCGACATTCCGTGTTCCCATTTAACAAAGCCTGCTTAGATTTACAGGCTGACGATTCTGTACTCAAGCAAGCTGGCTAATGATGACCATGAGCAGGTGCAGGACTTGAACCTTTTGAAAGAGATGCATAATATAGATTCAATTTAGGAAGGAAAGCAGCAGCAGAATGTCATTTATTAAGCATCAACAAGTCAGAAAATATAAATGACAATTTTCAATTCTATGAAAAAGCACAGGGAATTCTTTCTACATGGAATGCCCAATGGGTTTAAAAGCTCCTGTAAATGATGCCTGTTGTAGCAGCTTACCTGCACAGGCAAAAGTGAGAGGGGTAGAGAAATACCTCATCCCCAAAGCTCATGGGACCAGTGCAGGGTTTGTGTAACTCAAATCATTACAGTTTGACGGCCACTACGGAAACAAATATCTAATACAAGGGCATACATTTGTTAGGTGCTTTCTTTCAAAACACACCATCAGGACGTTCACAGGGTAGCATGCTCACACAGTAACTTGTGCTTCCCAGCTGGTGGCATCAGCTACCTCTGATTACTTTTTTTCCTATTATTCCTGGAAGTTTTACTGACAAAATGAATAGTTTTTTTTTTTTTTTTTAACCATTCAGATTATAAAAAGTAGAAATTTAGATTTCTCCTTTTCAGTAGGCATAGCAAACTTCATGTTCTGAAGTATTTCCATTGTATCTTACTTAACTGAACCATGTATCAAATTTAGTTTAGAACAATGATAACTTGCAAACACATAATGGTGTTTTTCATTTCCCAACCATTTTAAGAAGCAAACCCTTACCTTTCAAAGCTTTACTTCTTTTATCTAAAATAAAAGGCAGAAAAAAATGGGTTACATCAATACTTTCCAAAAATGCTTATAATTGACTCATTTATCAAAAGCAACATTTGGCTGAATGCTTCATAGCTTAGGTAAAGCATTCCAGGAAGCTTTCAGACAATAGCAGAGTTACTACAGTGTCCCACAGCCAAGAAGTGGTAAAGTTTCTACCAAAGAAGATCTACAGGTAGTGAAGAGCAGGCTTCCTCACTCCCCACCACACTCTCAACTGCAGTCTTGCCTTCTTTCCTTTCTCTTCTTAATCAATGGCTCAACAATATGTGGCTAGGCCTCATCTCTGCTCCACTAAGAACCAAATGGTTATTTCTCCCCTCCAAATTTGATTGTGAATAAATGTCCAATAGAACCATTGAGAAGGTACGATAAAGTACTGTACACCAGGGCATGATACCCACAATACTTCAGCCTGCATCTCTGAAGATGAAGAACATCTCCTATGTATTGGTAATACCCAGGACAATGCACAATTTCTCAATATCAAGGAGTTGCTCAAGTTCCCCCACTGTCCAACAACCTCTTCATAGCTGACTCACACTGCCATAGCGGTTCTGTTGCTTGAGCCATCTTATGCTATGGTTAAGAGCCATAGTTCCTTGATAAATGGATTGTGATTCTTTCCGAAAACATTTTTCTTCCTGACCTCAAATAAATCAAACATAAGTAAACTTACCAGCACTCCTGATTTTATAAACAATGAAGCTCATTAACCCCATTCCTACCCAAATCTCTTGGTAAACCTGGGTATAGTAGGGCTTCAAGGGGACCCAGTAGTTTTTAATAATGGTTTGAAGCATCTGAAAATGAACACAGTGATAAACACTAAGGTGACTATTGCTCTAACTCTAACACATAAAAAGATAATCTTCATTTATTCATTAAGTCTGACTCCATCTCCCACAACCACCTGATAGGGAGTTGCTCTTGTTCTTGACCTAGTCTAGTCCCCCCATGTGAGCACCTTCTCTCCACAGTGCAAGTCACTTGGCACTCAGTCACCTCTCATTCCCCCCCATTCCAGCACTCTGCCACCATGCTGCCCATACCCAAGCCAATCTTCCATTAATGCTATGCTCAAAGTCACACTCCACTCTTCTGACTTTTAAGTGGAAAGACTGGCTTCATCATCATGTTGAGAATGGCCGGCATTCAAAGCTGAAAAGAACAGGTCAGGGTATGGTGACTTCCTTATGAAACTAACACCTGGGCCTGTACATACTTTGACCAGCTAGAGGTCCAAATATGACAGAACTTAAATATTATTTAACTAATTACTGAATTTGATTGGGAAAGCCATAAAATTCTGAACCTACAGTTAGCTTTGTGCAGATCTAAGTAATGCTTTTGATTACTTTTGCAATTTATACAGACCCTAAACTAGATGCCCTGGTGTTCATCTTAAGAGGCATTGTAACATCTGGCCTATTAAAGGAGGATCATTGCAGTGGTTGTCAGGAACGACTAGATCTGAGCACTTATCATCTCACTTGGAACCTCTCCCTTGGAGGCAGCTGAAATCTTGTCTTGCCCCGCCCCTGCTCCTCTCATACTGCACTGCTACCTGGCACATACAGGATTCTCATCTTTCGGTGCTGTGGTTTTCCATATTTCTCAGCTCCCCATCAGTTTTATAACATCAGATTCTCCAAAAGCCCAACCTATTCAGAGGTCAATGGCTGCCCTCAAATTATGGAAACCTGTATTGCACAGCCATTACCTAATCAGCAAATATGTACTGAGCACATGCTAGGTGCCACTGTTTTGGGAGCTGAGAAACAAAAAAGAGCCAGGATACCAAGGACAAGTGTTCTCAGCAGAGGCAATGATGTGCCAAGACACCCCAGGTCAGAATAAACTTGAATAGCTGGGAGGAGTGGGAAGGAAGAAGGCCAAGTGGCTGCCCAGATTCAGATCCTGGCTGTCACTTAATAGTTACTTATACTGCCTTAGTTTTCTCATCTGTACAACAGGAATAAACAGTAACCTCTTCAAGGGGGGCTGTTTTGACCCTGAAGTGAGTCACTGCATGCCAAGTGTTTACAGTGTCTGGTACTGCATACTAAGTGCTTGTTTTATAAAACGCTGTGGCTGAGCTACAGGATAAAAGACGGCCTGGTCTCTAGCACCTTGGAGGCCAAAGTAAAGCCTAGTTTTTACTCTAGGCTGTTCCCTAAGTTTAACAGCATTTACTCAGTGTTTGAGGAACTTACTTCCTGCACCTACAACCCACCCCTACAAAGCAGGTCCTTGTCAGATGGCCAAGATTGCACAGCAGGTAAGCGGGCCTGGATTCATGCTAAATCAGGTCCAGACCTTTAGGCCGGATCGCGTCAATCTCCCGGCTTCCTGCTCTCCGCTGTGGAAACCGACTCCGGCAGAGGCGCGCTCCTGAAGGCTGGTCCTCACAATCCGGAAACCAACCCCAGTCGTTCGCAGTCTGGAGCCCGGCCCCGGAGCCCCCCTAGCAGTCTGAGGGCCAACCCCCGGCACCCGTGTCACTGCGAGGCCCCGGGACCGGAGAAGAGTAGCGGGCGAGCAGAAGGGGCTGACCCAAGGTCAGCGGGCCCGTGTTGTCCCTCGCCCCGATCCCGCCCCTAACCCCTGGACCTCCGACCCGCCGCCTCTCCACTCCCCGCGTTGCGAGCTCTGCTGCCGGCGGGGACCAGCTCTCACCTCGCCAGAACCAACAGCTCAAGCCGCTCCACACTGCGAAGCCGACCCGCAAAGGTCACCGAGTGCGCAGGCGCCGCGCGCGGCCCGCCGGGAAGGCGGAAGGAGCGGCGGCGCCCGAGGCCAGAGCGCCTGTCCGATCGCGCCCGTGTCCCACAGCGCCCCCGGCGGCCGCGCCGGTCCTGCCGGCAAGAAGGAGGGGCACGGAGGCCAGGCGCCGCGCCGAAGGCCCCGCCCCGCGGGAAGCAGGGCGCCCGGGTTGTGTCCGCGGGTCCTATCCCGTGACCAAACGTCCGGATCTTCGGAGGCCTTGTAATGCTGAACCAGGGAGGTTCTGGACAAACCAGACGGCTTGCCAACCTGGAAGAAAGGGACCCTTGTTTTTAGTCGTCAATGGACCTTTATTTTCCTTGTTTATGCCCCGTGCTGAGGATGGAACCCAGCGCCTCACGCGGGCTAGGCCGGGCCCTACCGCTGAGCCGCGGCCCGGCCTCTTGACCTGACTGGGAGAGGGGCGCCGTCGGCGGGCGACCCGGCCTCGGGCCAAGCGGCCTGGCCTGAGCGGAGGCTGGCCTTGAGCGTGGGAGCCGTCGGCCTCAGGCGCCCTAGGGCTGGGCTTGCTGGCTAGTGCCACTGCGCCCGGCCAGAAAGCATGTCTTAGACCCGGAAGGACCGAGAAAACCGGACCGAAAGGAGCCGGGCGAGCGAAATGACGGGCGAGACCAGAGCCGACGACAGGGCGCGGTGGGGACTGTTGGGGGCAGGCCAGGCTTTGGAGCGCGCGGGTCCCCGAACGCGCGGTCCCAGTGCGCCCTTAGGGGTTGGCTTGGTATGAGGACTGGTGAGCCTTTCTCAGAGCCTCTTGGCCGGGAAGGGAAATTTTTCTTAAAATGGTGACTGTCACTTAAGACGGCCATCAAGATGCTAAGCAAGGACCTTACAAAGACAAGGACAGCGTTTAGAAAAAATTTAGCATCATTGTAAGGTCTCAAGCTAGACTTGAGATCAATAAGCCATTTTTTTGGGGGGGTACTGGCGATTGAACCCAGGGACAGTGACCACCGAGCCCCGTTCCCAGCCCTATTTTGTATTTTATTTGGAGACAGGGCCTCACTGAGTTGCAAGCGCCTTGCTTTTGCTGAGGCTGGCTTTGAACTTGCCATCCTCCTGCCTCAGCTTCCTGAGCCGCTGGGATTACAGGACTGTGCCACCCTGCCCACCAGATCAATAGATTTTTAATGGCTAGTTTCAAATCCAAAATCCTAAGAAAAACACTTCAAAAAAACCAAAATGTTTAAGGAAAGGGTCACCCTAGCACATTTGTTTGAAGGATCTAATGCTGTGTTTTGTGGCTGGAAGGTCAGAGAAGACACACAGTGCCTCAAGCACAGTTTCTCTGGCTTTTTGAGAGGGCCACTTAATGGCATCAATAGCATTTGTAAATGCTTTCAGCTGTTGGTTTTCCCTTTAGGACAGAAGTTCACTCTGCTCAGTGAATTTGCCAAGCCTCCCTTAAATATCAAAGCCCAGAGGCCTTCAGCAATCTTTCCTTGTGCTGTGGCCTAAAGGTCTACAATCCTATTAAGAACTGCCTGATATCAAGCTGTCCCCTTTAACTCTGAACACTGGCCAGGAATGCAAGATGAGCTGGGCTAAGTGAGTGGGGGCACCCAGAACCACTGAATCACATGGAGGAATCTGGGACTGTCTAGAGTAAAGAGATGTCTCTGGAGAAGGGTCCTAGGAGTTCCCAGAGGAGGAGGAGAACTTAACTCAGGACCAGAGGGATTCTTGGCATACCCGATGGAAAAGAATTTCAGCATGAGCCAGACAAAGGCACACAGAGATTTATTTAGGAAAGTTGGTACCCATTTAAGGGGGAATATGGGCTGTCTCCAGAGTGAGAAGTCCTGATTTGGGCTGGGTGTCCAATGTTTATAGAATGGGAGTATCAGGGGCTGGACTAGTGGTGGATCTAGGTTGGAGCGGCCAGTTTTCCTGTGCTTGCATATTGCCTTCATTTTACAAGGGTATGGGCCAAGGGAATGGGCCAAGGTCTACAACTGTGTTTTCTGCCATCTCAGTGGCTTGATTCTTCATTTCAAGCTTGAGAGTGTTTTCCTTAAGATTCTGAACCCCCCCCCTCTGTTTCTTTCTTTCTTTATACTAAATCCCTATTTTAGGATCACACAGAATGTTTAGTTAGGAAACTAGAAGCAGATTCCAAACTGAAAAAAGCATCAAGACAATGTCCTTATGAAATAGTAGCAAAGAGGATAAAGGTGCCTCCCAGAAAATGTTTGTGTGAAAAGAACTCTCTTCAGAAGAGCACCTTATAGCCCGCCTGTAAACCCAGCAGCTGGGGATGTTTTGGAAATCACACTCAGCAAGAGACCAACCACCATTGGGAGGATTGGAGAACTCGGTGGACTTAGATGAGCTAGTGCTCTGAAGTTCTGGTCCCTGAGCTGAGGTTACATGGGGCTTTTATAGGAAATTTGACATCATTTCTTAACCATTATGACATTGGTGGGTTTGAATTCTTGGCCTATGTGACCAAAGACAATGAATGCACAGGGAATTTATGATAAGTAGTTCACATGTGCAGAACAAAGGCAGTAAAATACTTGCCAGTGTTATCTTTAAGTAGTTTTTATCACAGCAGCAACTCAAGATGACTTGAATTTACCTTCCTAAGAGCTATATTTCTAAGAACTAAGCCTATGAGGTTATAATTTAGACATCAATTAATTGACCTAGCAATTAAATGATGTAGCTACATTCCTAGAGTTTAGAAAGTTACAGAAGAGAAGATTCTGTTCACACTCATCAGTTGAATCTCTGGCCTTGAAAGCCTGGCACAGGGGTGTTTACTTTTCAAGTCTAGTCAAACTCCTAGGGACAGGTGTTTACAATCCAATGGGTAGGGACCCATGGTTAATTAGGTTTCCTGAAGAAAGGTTGACAGAAGGGGAAGGGAATTAACCGTTTCCTCAGGCATTGTTTTTTCATCATAAGGTTTTTTTTTTTTTTTGAGAGAGAATTTTTTAATATTTATTTTTTAGTTGTCGGTGGACACAACATCTTTATTATTTTTATGTGGTGCTGAGGATCGAACCCAGCGCCCCGCACATGCCAGGCAAGTGTGCTACCGTTTGAGCCACATCCCCAGCCCCATCATAATGTTCTTAAAATTTCATTTTATAATCAAGTCTTTGTTTTTCAATCACAGGGAGGCTGAAGCAGGAGGATAGAGAGTTCAAAGTCACCCTCAGCAACTTAGCAAGACCCGATCTTAAAATAAAAAATAAAGAGGGCTGGGGATGTGGTTCAGTGGTTAAGTGCCCCTGGATTCAATATCTGGTACCAAAAAAACAATAAAAATCAAAACCAAATCACCTTCCACTTAAAAACACTTGTGACGTGGACAAAGGATGATAACATGTTGGAAGAGCAACACACCAGGGGTACAAATGTCAGCG